AGAACTGTAGCAAGTATGTTTTGTGTACCTAATAAACTATGGTTTCACGTAATTCATGTGTAGTGTCGTATGTGTAAGATTGGCCGGTGTGCATTATTGCTGCTTATGTGCATATAGTTATATTGAACTCTACTGGAGCCCATCAGTCTAAATTGTACTTGTGTTACACAAATTGTGTAATTTTATATTGGTTAAGAACCCGCACACGAGGTAGTAAACGTATTGCATACTATTTGGTATTTTGGCTAATATTTGATCCAGTGACCTCGTGACAGTGGACTTGTTCAATCTGTATGCTGATAATACAACCTGGTTAATTTCCAATAGTAGTTTCTAGAATTAACAAAGCATCAAGTCATTGACAATGATCTGTGCATGTTAAGTATAAACTTTGGGTCAAAAGTGTCACTTTTGGTGAAAAAACCTAAAAATGTTGTGTCATAACTCTGAGCTGCATTGACCAATGTTCACAAAATTCAGATATACCGTAGTACAGATTCACATATTAAATTTTTTGATTTGTGCATGTTAAGACTTACTTGACACAAGCAATCTTCAAAACAAATTGTTTCAATGCCTAGACTGTCCATTTTTTGTAGTTGTTCTTCATAAAAATATTCTAATTCATACATAGATAAGACACCATCTCCATCTAAGTCCATACATCGGAACCAGTACTCTACACTGAAGTGAGGAAAAGTGAAACAATATACCTAATTAGCATATATCCTGTATCACATATACTATTGGTACCATCATTATTTAGATATTTGTGTCGTCTTACTTTGGATTAAGATAATGAATTTCAAAATAAAACCTTAAGCTGGTTTAATATTTAATATGAAAAAATAAAAATAAAAAAAAGCATTCCTTGTTTCAAGAAGGGAGCAAACAAAACAAAAAAAGTTTCATCGTGCTTACAAATCAGCGCTATTTAATGTCAGTTGCATGTCAGTTGATGCGAAAGACAAACGTTTTGCGTGAGGACACAGTTTTTATACCTTGTAGGATGCCTTTTATCTTCTTCTGACATGAGAAACCAAACAAAATCCGAGTAACTCATTTTACCTTCCTGTTGCATCGTTCCCCTAGAAATAACCAAGCAGAGACGAAGTTGATATTACATTTATCGCGATATGAGGCAGGAATATTGACTTTGAGTATATGACATGATAATACTGGTAATGACAACTGTGACCATGCATTTACACAATAAAATAAGAAAGAAAGAAAACAATACCTTGTAACAGAACCTGAAAATATTCTATCTATCATCCGAGACGATACAGCTACAAAGTAAAACAAAATATATCAAAATCAATAGTTGAAACGTGACGTGAAATATCTTTGTCATCATACAAGAACAATTGTGCAGTATAACAATCATCCTTGATTGAAGTATCAGAAACTCTTGCCAAAATTCCACTTGTCAACTACCGTATTTTCTAAAACCACCAGGGTACTATTTAGGTGCATAAAATTGCTCCAAATCACATAAATAGGCCAAAACAGCTTTTAACTCAAACATCAGATCATCAAACCAATGCATCTGTATATCTATGACATGATGTATAACGAATATATAAAATTTTAACAAAATCAGTAAAAGCATGTCAGAGATATGGCACTAGAACTACATTCATTAAAACAAAATGGCTGTCAGTCGGCCATTTTGAATCTGATCTGAAAAAGATCAAGGTTCCATATTGTCCAATATATGTACCAATCCAGAAATGCTTGCTTTCGATGGATTTTCAGCACAAAATGGTCGCCATTCAGCCATCTTGAATCAGATCGTGAAAAACAAATTGATGTGTAAGTCTAGTCATGTCTAAGACATAGGTCTGGATGCACGGACATACACAAAGACACATGCACAAAGGTCCAAACGGGAACTAACAAGCTGAAAACATAATTAGTATGCAAATTAGCTAATTAATATGTGAATATTAATTAGAAGCTGTTATGAGATATTGAGCTACATAAAAAGCAATTACATACCAGGCTTCAATGCATTTGTGCAAACTGATGCAAAGATACACTATAAATAAGCTAAAACTGATTATTATATGCAAATTACCTAATTACATGCACAGATTTGTATCAAAATCTAACCAGGTCTTGTGCTCATGATATAGTAGCTGTGTGCAAAGTTTCATTTCAATGCAACCAGTGGTTCTTGATATATCAGTGAACAAGATTTGATACACACACGCATACGGAAAGAAATGGACAGACATTGGTATGACATTACCTCCTGTTTGTGTTTTTCAAACACGGAAGCTAAAGATAATGGGAAAAGTTTATTGTCAATATTAACTTGTTTACATAAATCTTATCAACTTACCATGGTCATTATGTCTACTAAGATCTTTTTTGTCAATAAAAAGATCATGATCCATGTCTAATTCCCAAAATTTACAGTAAATGACGTAGAAATGTTCATAAGAGAAATAGTCTGTGATCTGATTGATTTCATCTTCTTCTTCTAAGAGTTGAATTGTCTGAAATACATAATGAGACATAAAATATGAGTATGGACTAGTGAGGCACATTGTAATCCTAGATGCAAAACATGTTACTCGCTTATATCAGTTTTGAGTACATTGGGCCAGCTGAGATTAATTATATACTTAATTTTGTGCAGACCAAATTTTGCTGAATTTACTTGAGGCAGGGGGAAATCGGTGAATTTTATAGCAGTGAACATTTAATTAGGTCCTTTAGACAGGGAATTACAATAACTTTTGTGTAATTTAATCACTGTGAATCTTAATCAAAATCATCAACAAGTCATTGTCAATGACACGTCCCGTTCTGTTCATATTTGAGTGACATATACATTCAAAGCAGATCATGACCGAAATGCACCTGCATATGTACAACACATTGTACTAAATCTGAACAAAATCCATCCATGCATGACTGAGATCCGGTTCCAGAATTGTGAAAATACGTGATTTTGATGCATTTTCGGCCTTAAAATGGCCATCATTCAGCTATTGTTAAGCGGATCATGAAACAAATGCACATATCTATTTGTGACATGATGTACCATGTGTGTGTGAAGTTTGAACTTGATCAATCCAGACATGTCTCAGATACGGATCAAAAACTGAATTCTTTAAAACTAAATGGCCGCCAGTCGGCCCTTTCGAACTTGATCCGGAAAAAAAAATGACGTGCATCAAGGTCCTATTATGTTTAATGTATGTACCAAATTTGAACAAAATCCATCCATGCATAACTGAGATCCGGGTCCGGAATGGTGAAAATGTGTGATTTCAATGCATTTTCGGCCTTAAAGCGGTCGCCATTTGGCTAACGTTAATGAGATCATGAAACAACTGCACATACATATTTGTGACATGATGTACCTTGTGTGTGTGAAGTTTGAACTCGATCAATCCAGGCATGTCTCAGATACGGATCCAGAACTGAATTCTTTAAAACAAAATGGCCGCCAGTTGGCCATTTTGAACCCGATCCCCCCCCCAAAAATGACGTGCATCAAGGTCCTTTTATGTTTAATGTATGTACGAAATTTGAACAAAATCCGTCCATGCATAACTGAGATCCGGGTCAGAAATGGTGAAAATGTGCAATTTTGATGCATTTTCGGCCTTAAAATGGCCGCTATTCGGCTATCGTTAATCGGACCATGAAAAAAATGTGCATATGTCCCATATAATGTGTAATGTATGAGTGAAGTTTGAACTTAATCGGTGCATGCATGTTCGAGATACAGGTGATCACAGATGCACGGACGCACACAGGGCAAACCATAAGTCCCCGTTTTCGGACTACGTCCGAACAGGGATTAAAAACTGGCTTGAGCTTTGACTTAACCTTTTGAACTCCATAATTTGTTTTCACAAGATTTTTTGTGCAACATTTTATGTATTATTCTATAATATCTGAAAATTTACTGCAGTTGTGGCATGTTTGCTTTATCATATTATGTCACATATCCTTTATGGCATAGGTACTTACTATATCATAATGGCATAGGTTCACGATTCAAGTACAGGATGCATCCATATTTCAATAATGAGCAAATTCACATTTGGACATTTTCAACACTAAATGCATCATCATACACATGCTTAAGCCAATTCATAGTAAAGTTTCCCAAAAATCATTCAACAGTAAGATAGTTTCTAATTATGAGATTGACTGAAGATGCCTCCAATTACTGCATGTCCTTCAACTCAATATTATGACACTGGGAAAAGCAGCTATCATTCTTATAGTTAAAATTTAGTATTTTATTTTTAAGTGTCAGCAATTTATACTATAATAAAATTGGCTAAAACCATAAAAGCTTGATATTTATGTTAAGACTGAACTCTTCAACTCCGACAAACAGTTCAACAATCCCATTAAAGACAACATATCATGGTCAAATACTTGTGAACCAAGTGTGAAACAGTGTATTTTAGGTAGTCACAGGCTATGACAAGGTTATTGTCTGTATTTATTTGATTTAGGGACACAAAGGAAAGAATAAATAGAATCAATCAAAATCCATGAAACCATTTTGCCTTTGTTTTAAATTTAAACAAATTTGATCAGATGTGTTAGAGGAAGGGGGGGGGGGGGGATGGCAATACAAAAAATCCACATGGCTGGATTTGGCCATTTTGAATCAAAATGTGAATTTGTAACCTATCTATATGTTTCATGTTACCATGAGTTATATCAGTATCAAATTTGGATGCAAGCATCCCAGGTACACAAATTGACATTTGAGTACTTGTCACAGAGGAGTATGCGCAAAAGCTCTAACATTTGATCACTACACTCATCTACTTTGAACTGAAATGCTTATCTTATTCAATGCAGTTTGAATTCTGTTCTAAATATCTTTGTGTACTACAGGTAGTTGTAGGTAGATAATGTAATCAATGTTTCACAAGATGAGGGCAAAATTCTGAGGGACACATTGAATATCAATAGAACTCTCCTTCTATTTATTCCATTCATTTCTAAAAATGACAAAGTTATTCCAAGAAAGTAAACAAAATCTTTACTGACGCAATCTTATATGTGAAGACACAGTTGTTGTTCAGCTGCGTGGCATAATGCTACTATTAAAACAGAGTTGTATTTTTAATGTAGCTATATTATTATACCAGGCTCTATAAACCTCTTAGGAGATTGTCTTTCATTTAGATCATTCATTCCAAAGATTTTAAAGTTACCCATCTTTTCATGCCAACAGAGAATTAGCAACAAAAGATTGCTGTCAAGAAATTATGAAAGTTATGAAAGTTTCAATGAAAACGTACTTTCCTTACCCTGATTCCAAAATGAACAAAGAAATGTTTTACACTCAAATGTGGATGTGAAAAATGATGGCGTTCACAGGGTTATACACATGTATACACAAGGACAGACTTACAAGTCATCTGATAATAAGACATCTTGTATATCAGTTCAACGACTTCAAATCAAGTACTAAGCCACAGAGTATGATATTACAGGTGGCCCAGCATGTAAAATATGATTGTTTTCATACAACCATGTGAAATAACACCAGTGTATAACTAGAAAAGTAAATTCCATTATATCCTGCAGATACAACTGAAAAAGCAGATGTATGACATTGCCAGTCCATATGTTGAACTTCGAAAATTCTGTAGTGGGGAAAATCCTCTAGACAGGGAGTCACAGTGACCTTCATAAAGTTCAGTTCTCACAAATTGTGCTTAAATTGGAATTACTTATGATAGTGAGATTTACAGTATATCAAAACCACTTTCATACAGTAAATACGTGCAGCAAAAATCTACCACAATAATTTACAAATACTAACTAACT